TCCTTTGTCTCCTTGGTCGTTCGTAAAAGGGGGGCATTGCAATGAACAGGGAGACTCCCCACGAGTTCATTCCAGCATTACAATCCACCCCCAAACGGTTCACATGTTTTCTATAGCACAGTGCCCTAGGGCTGCATTGGTACCAGTATACTCTGGCCTTACCCATATTCTATCAAGGGACTGTATCTAGCTTCTACATAATTCGGAAACTGATGTAATGCTCTTACCGGAGTCCCGTTGTATCTTATGAACCTTTACATCTACACTGAAACCGAAAATTGTGAGATGTTAAAGACGACTTATTGCAATTAATATTTCGAAGTCAGGCACTGGAAATCCGGGGTTGTTCATTTATACTAATTTTGTCTCTAAGGGTTCGAATTCTAAATGGTGTGTCTTGGAAATAAATGCATACCCGGAGTTAGAACTGGAAACAAGTTGTCTCAAACCCATGCTTCTATAGAAGCTCTAGATCCGCGGGGATCCGTAAATCCGACTAGCTAGCCTCGTAACTAATTTCTGCTTTTGGGGAATTATGGTCTCTGCAGTAATATCCGTATATACTCTATAGTGATGATAAAGCTTGAGTTCAAATATTAATTACGCAGAGTACCATTGACAATTATCGTGATCTGCATTTCTCTTCTCTAACCTCGAAACCGAACATCGCCCTGCTACCAGAAAAAAGCCATGCACTATATCTGTTAACGATGGTACCTGCCAATCCATTGATGCATCGGCAGTCCCGTGTGCTCGTGTTACACCAATCCCGCGAAGGAGAGTATAAGTAATCTCATTTTCAGCAACGCCACTCATCTACATACTTATACTCGGTGTTGGTGATCATTGGAGAAACAATGAACACTTCTACCGATCTACCGTATCGGTGGGGTTTAATTGTCTCCACTCTGCAGTACGAGAATTAGCCTAGTAGCAGTACCGAGATTTCTATCAGAGATGACCCGAGCAACGCTACCGGTACAGCCAACTCGGGGGAGGGAATAAGTCAACTGGGTTTTTAATACTAGACCCCGAATAGCCGTTCAATTCGGACCAAAGCCCAGGAGGGATCAATGACCTGGTGTCACACGTATCGTACTGGTTTGACTCTGATACTCTATGATACATTGGCGGATTTCTTTGCTTCTTCAAATCGATATCTATATCGATATTCGGCTCCACACCAAAACAACCGAATGCAACAGATGACATCAGACGACATCAAGCAAAAACTACATTCCCTGACCCAGTACGCGTCTTAGCGCCGTGCCGATAGCGAGGAGACGCAATCTCAGCTCAGCAGTAACGTTAATAAGATCTAGGGCAAAGACGTATCCAGCGCAGGGGTATCGATTCCGTATCAACAAATACTGGTACATACTTGCCGTTACCCTAGAAGCAGAACGATTGCTGCTATGCCCAAATGTTGATGTGGGACGGTGACGTTATGGCGGCGTCACGAACGCAGCGATCTAGAGAGGGTCAAACTTGTGTGTGTCTATTGTGTAACAGGTCTAGAACAAACAAGCTCTCTATAACTAAGTGTGGAGCACTAAAAGCAATGCCCTAACACTATCACGCTCCCAGGTCCTAGATGGGCATTTCATCCCCTAGGAAGCTGAACACGAACTCAGACGGATGCTATCCGGGCTGGGTCGCCTTCTACTGACAGCTCATGGGTAGGGCATGTAGCAACTATCCATACTTGGTAGGTATGCCATGCCAGTGAGTAATTCCTCGCTTCTCTCTTGCGCATTGGTATAAGATCTAGGAGTCCCCAGTACCAAATACTTGACAGAAGTGACTGGTCATTTCAGTAAGATCAGGTAAGGACCCTACCCCGCCTTCAAAATACTTTTGACGTCCTATTTCACCGCTATACAGTACTAGTCGATGTCTTGGAAACAGTTCTCCCGAGTACCGATGGCGAGAATTGACTAATTAATGCAAGGAAGCTTTTTAGTATCAGCCATCGCGATCGCGGATTGGCACTTGATTGGATCGACGGGACACTCGGCTAAGTGTCTACAGTTATTGGCAATATGAGCCCGGCTGATGTGGTAGAGTACTACAAGACTGACAAATAGCTGCCTAGTTTATGAACTAAGTTGATGTACCTGGAGATGAATCCGGATGTGGGGAAGATAGCCTATTCTACCTGCTCGCATTATGTTAACCTTCACGGTCGATCACTCGGGTATAGTATTTCCAGCATAGCCAGAAGCTTCGAAAGTGGGTCCTGTACGCACAGTAAGTCACAAGTATGGTAGTGCTTTACGACGTAGTCTAAGCAACAGAATACTTGTAACTCGAGCAAACACTCTATACCTTGGTTCCAGGCTGAAACTACTGTGCGCCCAAAGTTCGTCACATTGCATTATGTTGAGCCGAGTTGGAAGTGTTATGAATTCGAATCAGATGAACGCCGATCGCCTCGGATGTAGGCTATTGATATAAATCAGCCCTTATGCTCATACAAGCAAAGTGGCTTCATCTCGTCGCTGAATACCTGTCGCACCCCTTTCGACATCCACCACTCGTGCGTTCGCCGATATCTTGCATCTTCCTAATTTTACTTTGTACGCAAGTGTCTTCAACGCCGATATCTTGTTACTTGTTGGATCGTATCGTCGAAGTATAATTTACTGTTTCTACGTTGGCCCTTTACATTATTCGGTCCAAATCCGGGGCCAATCAATAGATATCAAACCAACCTCCCTTCCAGATTTCACTTGCTGGAGTATGTATACACTGAAGACTTGAAATATCGGTTGATAATTCTCGATGGCTACCGCTGATCATGACAGTTCTACCCAGCAAGTCCACCGAAGTCGGGGTTATAGAATGTCGGCGAATCACATCAGATCTTGTGTTGCCACATGTGTCTGTGAGCTAAATGTAAATCGAATTCTCCATTAGTTTGGTTTAGATGTTTTGATGGTTTTCCATCTTAGCGCTCTCGGGATGCGCAACCTACCGGCGCCCCCCTCCCACCATCCCCGCCACCGTCCCTCCCAGTGGATTGCCGCAGTGAGGCGTGGTGGCGTATAATTTGTTGAGATGGGTTGCGCTGCCTTCTCTTCCTCACTCTCATGGTCAATTACTTTGGTTTGCATTCACAATCCTCAAGCAACCCATCCAACGCCTTCATATTACCCGTTTACCTAAATGTCTTTGCTGCGCCAACCTGCCTCTACTGCGACGGATATCTTAATTTAGGAAGCAATCAAGGCATTTGGTGGTGCTATAGATTTGCCAGCTGAGGGGGAACAATTTTCAGATGCGGAAAGTGCATTCAAGCGTGTGCAACAGTATGCCTTTGCCAATGGATTTGCAGTGGTGCAGACCCAGAAGAATGAAAAGAAGCAGATTCTGGTGTTTTCCTGCGTACATTATGGAAAAGGTGCAAACAAAAGGAAACTTACCGGAGATGCTGTTAGAAAGGAGGTGTATAATGAGCTGGATGGGGTAGATAACAAGGGAAATAAACTTCGCCAACGACAAGGCCTGGTAATATAAACTCTCAATTGCAATTGTTACAATAAAAGTCAAGGTTATCGCTAAATGTATCTATGGAAGTGGAATTGCCTTTGAAACCCAAAATACCGCTATTGATTTGTGTGAGTTGGATACGCAGGGAGGCATTTGGATTGATAATTACGCATCCGGAAGAGCAGTGGGGGTTGTAATGGGTGAAGGAACCCAGATGCAAGATCAGGCAGAGGGTGAGGATGAGGAAGATGAGGATTCGCAATTGTCATGGCATGACGGGTTAGATACACAGGCCACAGTTCTTTTATAGGGTAGTTTTTGAATTTGTATCGTTTTCTTTACCATGTATGTGTGCACCACCGCGCCTCACTGCGGCAATCTGCTGGGAGGGGCGGTGACGGGGATGGTGGGAGGGATGGCCCGGAGGGGCGCCGCAACCCACCATCTCCATGAGTTGAACCGTACACGTATCGAGTGCAGAACTGTGACCCGCAGATGAACTAGTGATTAAAAATTCTTAAATGAGAACCTAGGTATATCCTACTGCTTTCGCCAGATTTACGACCTAGATCCATGAACATCAATGCATTTTTGAATTATGGAGATCTCGAGTGCTGCTGGCTCATTGCCTTGCGTCAAACTCTTGGCTGATGTGATACATACCAAACTACGTCTGGTGACCGGTCAACTGAACTTCATCACCCTTCAAACCACACTGCACAATGGTAACACGCTGCGGCACCAACCTCCAATCCACCCCGTCTACCGGGCCCATTTCTGCAGGCAGCGATGTATCCAAGCTCAGCGACCCAGAGTTCGTCCTCAGGAACGAAGTCAAAGAATGGCCAGCATGACGTTCCGTCAGATCTACATACCCCGCTAATGAAATGCAGGCATTTCCATATCTATTTCAACACCACCTCTCCCTCCCAACACGCTGCTGCACTCGCCCTTCGCAACGCCGTTCTTGCTCTCCGAAAAGCCGGTGTCTTTGCTGCTGTTCCGCTTAGTCGTGTCAATACAGCACCAATAGGCCCGCATCCGGCAGGATCGTACGAGATTTGGGTACCCCGCGAGAGTTTTGCTGCTGTATTTAGCTTTTTGGCCCTGAACCATGGATCGTTAAGTGTGTTAGTGCATCCACTCACGAGGGAGGAGAGGAAAGATCACAGTTCACGGAAGGCATGGATTGGAGAGCCGTGGCCGGTGCTGTTAGAAGTACTTCCCGATGTTTTGGATGATGTGCCGTTACAATATCCTAGCTTGGGTAAGTTTTTTGGATAATCGCAGCAGAGAGGTGCTTACGCTGTCAAATAGGATTGGGATACTCAAGCACCGCGCCAGAACTCAGCAAGGAAGAACGTGAGAGGATGGGGGAAGAGTTGGAGAAAAAGGTGAAGAATGAAGAGGGGGCTATCTAGAAGACTTCCGATCCCTTCTAGTCTATTATTTCTTAATGACATTGTTTACAGTACTGTAAAGTTAATTTCCATTGCAATGGTGATGTCGATTCAGTAGTGTAGGGGTATCATGGGCGCTTGCCATTCAGGGAGATGAACGCATGTTGCGCCCGACCCGGGTTCGAATCCCGGCTGAATCATTTCTTTTGGTTGCTGTGGACTCACCAACGTACGATAGCCCATGCACCTCCCACCCCCACCTCAGCTGGACACTCCACACCACCCAGTACTGGATGCTACTATCGATTTCCGAGGAACTCGTCGCCATGGATTGTACGTCCATGGTCAGTTGTGCAAAGCATAATTCATGAATGGTTCAGCACACCTCGCTGGTCGGCGGTAGAGAATGACTACAGCAATGGATAAGCTGGTGAGAATAGACGCTGAAGGATTAACCCCTACGAGGTTGGACTCCCGTGGATAACTGTTGTAGCCCCACTGTCCTTGGGATTCGGTAGCTATCACAAATTCAATCTAAATCTTTATGTCATATCGAAGAACAGTAGCTGACAGCCGTAGGTTTAGATACTTCATGGCTCGAGCTCCTTCATCAAGCAATCTTACAGATCGAGTCGTGAATGGCGGATGTTGGCCTGTTTAGGGTTACGGAATGTGTTCCCGAGTAGCTGCTGACTGGTCCGAACAAAAGTCGGCGATTTCATGGTTTAGGCTTGTCCCGCCAGTCCCACCCTGTACATGCGAATAACGTTCGTACTGTACCAGTCGATGGGGTTGGGATGTCGGCAGTCAGGATTGAGTGTCCCAAAGATTTTATTCCAGATTTCGCCCAATTTTGACCATTCGGTGATTGAAAAAAAAGTGTCAGTAAAAAAGTGTCAGCAAAAAAGTGACCCAACTTCATTGACCGGTACAGTACTATGCGAAGCTCGAGTGCCCAAACTCCAGCCAGAGACTAGCGCATCAAAGCGCCACGGAAATGGATGAAATGAATACTGCCAAACATCCACATCGTCGAGGGGGCAGTTAGTGGGTCGTGAAAGATGGAGACCGGCGGCGTCCGCTTGGCGCGCAGAGGGTATAAAAGAGTCGAGAAGCGGTGCCTCATTTACCCATCCTACAAGCTTGCTTTAAATACCCAGTTCAACAAGACTCAGAGAATTTATGCCAAGTTGTCTAACCAACTACGAGATAATTGCTGGGTCACCGGTCAAAAGAGATATATAGGTTTTGGGCTTCCAGGCAATGCATCCCAAAATGTGCTCACTGGACTAGAACGCTGGTTAGAGACTGGGCGATCGCTCGCGATGGCGTTCTTGATGTTAGTACTAGCATAGGGGCGAGCATCTGAATTGTGGCTTGCATTTACCTTACAACCCGATGTGCTCAATATTTCAAAATAGATATAGAAAACCAGATACTTGAACACAATGAGCTACAAGCCTGAAGACTATGGGTCTTGTAAATTTTTGCAGCTTTTAGGTAGCAACTTATGCTCATTTCGGCTGTCCGCATGGAATAATGATAACAAGGTATGATTCAAAGCACTAAGAATATGGCACGAAAATGCTTCAATTTACCAATTCCGAGTCCCGCTGGACAGGGGCCAAGGGGTGAGAGTACCTGGTATTGACTACCAGTGCTGGCTACAAGTTTTACGGTTCTCCATCCTGGTGTGTGGATGCTTCGATGTGTATACTTGCCGTACACCACTGCCATTGACAAACCGGCTTTTTTTCACGCCATTTAGACCCGATATATCTCCAGCTGGACCAGGTTATGAGGGGTTGAGGGTGGGTTGAGGCAACCAATTGATCAGAGATCATCGATTCGTGTTGGATTTTCTGAGCCAATCTAGTAATGGTGAACGATCTTGTTCAGAACTCCAGTGCTAAAAAACATAGTATGCACACACCAAAATCCCTGTCTGGCGGACACCCCGTTTCTCCATATATTCATGCATATTCTAAACAGCCAATCAGCTTCTCCTTTGCATACTTATTCGCGTATCGCGGTTCCGCGGACGACTAGTTAATTGGCGGGGCATCGGCCAGCCTATTGAAAAATCTACCGGTTAAAGGATAAAACGGTAAACATAAAGCCTTGGGACTCTAATGGCCGCTGTGTGGCATGCTCAATGTATGCACTGTGTTGATGTACCTATGCGTTGTTCTCCTTCCCTATGATTGGGCCAATGGTATATCAGGATTCGACAGTGATCCTACCCTCTCACATGCAGATGCTAGAAAGCAACTAGTTTTGGGGAAAATTATCCCCCATAATCGGTCGTGCTCGCATCGCAGTAGTTTGGATATCTGTACTTTTAAGGGGTTTTGCATATGTATCCCAACAGTTTTTGCAATTTGGCTATTTCTCGTGCACATGAAAGGTATATGAAATCTAACAAAACAATGTTCATCTCCGAATGGAAATCTATCTTTTGCGTACAATACGGAAAGCTTAAGACGAATTCACAACCGAGATGTGCTTGTGAACTCAAATGGTGGGGGAATAGTTGAAAAAATACTCAGCCATGCACACCCATGCGCTGGAGAATTACCACAGATACGACGGACAGCAGATATATTATAGATAACCGTACAGTCGTATAGGCAGAAGGGCGCCCAATAATCTGCGGAAAATATGTTGGTTCGCCAGCCAGCCAGCGAAACAAAACGACGGTAGGTAACACAAAGATAACTCAAGTTATCGGTAACCCCATCTGGGCAATCCGAGCGGTGGGCATGTGCATGGCGGTCAAAAGCGCAACCTGTCAGCAGCAGAGTGTTCAAATCGAGCATTTGTTATTGCATCGATATGGGAAGTAGGCAGAAATTGGACGTGGTCCCGCGATGTTAAGGCGTGGAGGTTCGAGATGCTCTTCGCGGTCGCCTGGGGTCGGATCGAATGCCAATCATATGTCGCCGGTGTCGCGGTATCTTCTTTTCTTTTTCCGCGTAGCTCGACAAGGCAATCTTCACGGCGAACCATGGATCTTGGCTGCAGATAGTTTGCCATCGAATATTCATGGCGGCGTACAGACGCTCTCTATGTGCGCTCTAGCATGATCCCTTTTTGAACTGACATATGGAAATTTATATCGGGGAGAAATCCACCTATACTGCCCAACTTTAATCGATATCGCCTGGGCGCCTGCCTGCCTGCCTGCCTGCCTGCGACTCGAATTCGCGGCAAATTCTATCGTCCCAATAATAACCGCACCTTGTTATACACCTTATTATTTCTATCTATGCTAATTAATATCTATGTATAGCTGCTTAGGTATATATACACCTTCCCAGTCCTCGCATCAACTTTACAGTACTTTTTGCATCCGGTTCACGACACGGTGCCGCGCCGGTAGTCTAAAGGTATCGAGTTAACCCGGAATACGATCTGAATTTAGCCCAAACCAATCTGCAGGAAGTCGCTGGCATCTCGGCCGCCATTTTGAGCAAGCTGGACATGTTGACATAATCTCATGTTTGGAGGTGTGATGAATACATTAGACAGTATCGATTTATATAAAAACCTGACAATGGGCTCTTCTGCAATCGACTATCTGCTCATCGGCGCACCTGCTCTTCGTGTGCGATATGACTCTCGAAGGAAGATCCCTTCATGTAACCAAATTCGCACAACCTGCAAGAGTGGTATGAAGTACAAATGAAAGGTTGCCACGAGAGTGCAACCAGATGCTCGGCGATGAATGGAGTCGCATACACATGCATACATCGGCATAAAAAAAGTGCAGATATGCATGTGTATCCAACTCGGAAGAAATCCCAATTCACGGCTTCGGCAGATCGGTTCTGGTGTTTCTCGGGCGTGGGAGCCTGAAATCACATATCTACATACATGCTGCGGGAACACTACATAGTAGAGTGCACTGCATACTAGCGATCCCATCGATTAGGGTGTTTGATTCGCCCAGCAACCTAGGTGATTTCTACTCTACGTACATGTACGTTGCCTCATATCCAATAGGTTATTGTTTAATAATAAATGCGTGGTTTCGGCTTTCTTCCCTAGAATATAGTAGAACATGTAAAATTTTCCAGTGCTGTGTTACGATCCTGTGATTCCATCTCTCAGATCAAGCATAGTGGGTATGTTGAGCTAGGAGAATTTTCGTCGACATGTCTCTACTCTAGTAGGTAAATTCTACTAGACACTACTAAAACCTCATGACGCTTCGCGCGGCTGGTGAGAATTACCCCACTACGAGCCCGGATATCTCCTTTTCATTTACGTACCATGGTCCGCGATCTTCCCGATCCAAGAATCGGGAAATACCTCTGCCACAGGCCCCTGGGCTAAGTCACTTGGGTGCGGAATTGAGTAATGTCAGCAGTCGCTCAGCCCCAATCAGCTCTGGCAATGCCCTATATAATACACGTAGTTAGTATCTCTTGCGTGCGCGAATGAGTGAGAGGGCGTGCGTATGTGTCGGCGGTGGTGGGTGTGGTTCCTAGTCCATGCATAATCCCGTGGCAAGGTTCGAAGTGTGGGCAAAAGATAGATCTAGAGTTACTCTGCAGGTGTATCATACGGCCCGGCCCCGTACGGGGCGGATGACAATTATCTAGGCGAGCACTTGACTCGGTGTTTTAAGTACCATGACTCGCAGTCGTTCACTTGCATGGTTAACAAAGCCAATTCTGGGCTCTGATTGGTTCCTCGAACGTCACCGCGGTTAGGACTTCTACTTGGAGCAAAAGAACAGAGTTCGTGGGGACCTCGATTTGCCTCTTGCATTATCTATTGGATCCCTTTTGTCCACAATTTTTTGTTTTTTTTCCCTCATACGCATGGGAAAACCGGTCGCCCCAGAGGCGAAACACAAGGTGTAATCTTCCGTTATGCGGCGATTTAGAAGGTGGGATGCAGAGAGCACACCCACCCACCCCATTGTAGTTTTGCCGCGAAACTGCACCAGTTGGGATGCCCAAACGGGCCTGCAGTTCCCAGACATCTGGTAGATACATCATAGATCTTGGGACGACTGCAGAAATGTCTACGGATGTTATGTCGGTCGACCTTGACAAATACTTAGTTCTCAGGACCAACATCTGCACCAATGTGTATGGCCATGACCAACCAGGACTTCGGACTGTAATTATTTTTCTGCACCCTATCTGTCCGATTTTAAACATACCTTCTACGTACAAAGTCTTGGACT